GACCATCTGTCGGAATCTGGCTTTTAACGAATCCGTAGCTAGTCTGTGCTGCCATTGCTTGATCCACTCGCTCGAACCAACATTGTTTACCAGGGATGACGAGGATCAGCAGGATCATGCTGAGTAAATGAAGGATGTTGGTGATGAGGCGAATGAAAGGAGGAGGAGGAGGAGGAGGAGGAGAAGGTGGACGATAAACAAGAGGATGAGGAGGATGATGAGGAGGAGGAGAACAAGAATGACAACTAGGAGGAGGAGGAGAAGGAGGAGGAGGAGGAGGAGAAAGAAGAGGTGGAGGAGGAGGAACAACAGGAGGAGGAAGAGGAGGAGGAGGAGGAGGAGGAGGAGGAGGAGGAGTGGGAGTGGCAAGAGGAGAAAAGGAGGAGGAGGAGGAGGAGGAGGAGGAGGAGGAGGAGGAGGAGAACGAGGAGGAGCAGGAGGAGGAGGAGGAGGAGATAGGAGTAGAACGAGATGGTTAAAGAGGAGGCGGGCCTTGATTAGGATGAGGAGAGCGAGGAGGAGCATCAGCAGCCGAGGTGCAGGAAGATCCGAACTACGACTTGGCCCTGTACAGGCGGTTGGGGCCAGCCCGCGGTGCCTGAGAGGGGCAAGAAGAGGGTGCGAATGCTGGAGAAGAGGGCTGGAAGGAGAGGGGTAAGGTAGAAGAGGAGTGGACGAGGAGGATGGGAAGGGTCTGGGAGGGGGAGGATGATGAGGAGGAGGATGAGGAGGAGGAGGACGAGGAAGAGAAGGAGGAGGAGGAGAAGGAGGAGGAGTTGGAGCACGAGCAGGCGCAGCAGCAGGAGCATGAGCAGGAAGAGTACGATGATGGTAGTTTTGATGATGGTGATGGTGATGGTGATGGTGCTGATGCTGATGATGCTGATGCTGATGATGCTGATGCTGATGATGCTTATGATGCTGATGATGCTTATGATGATGATGATGATGATGATGCTGATGATGATGATGATGATGATGATGCTGATGATGATGATGATGATGATGATGATGATGATGATGGCGTTGAGGAGGATGAGGAGAAGGAAGAGGAAGAGGAGGAGGATGAGGAGCATGAGGAGGAGCGGAGGGGGTCCGTAGCAGTCATTGGCTCAGCGGGCCCAGCCCGTGGCGCGGGCCTGCTTACATGGGCATTCCCAACCCGCATCGGCAAGACTCAGAAGGTGTGCTGTCTTCGGTGCACTTTCGAACTCTTCGCCCCCCTCGACACGACAAAGCCATTGACGATACGGTCAGGAACGTTTGCTTAGCATGTCGCGCCGCTGGTTCTGGCTCACCGCGCTTCGGCGCGACACGCTAGCCACGTCCCAGTCCCCGAACGCCACCGTCCCAGGCTTTTCCAGCCTCCCGTCACGCGGAGCGGGGAGCGGCCCGCTGTCCGCTTGCGGGGCATGGCGTGTCGCCAGGGCCGCCGCCGCGACACGCTGTGCAGAAGTTCCTGACCGTCGCATCTTCGCACTCGCAGCTGCCGTGCACGCTGTCCGACGCCTCGGGCGTCCGCCTCGAGTGCTCGGTGCGCGCCGCGGCTGCCGCAGCGCGGCGGCCAAGGTCGTGGCGGGCGCGCCGTCGCCTGGCCGTTGGCGTGCGCGCCCGTCGCCCCTGCGCGGGTTCGCCCCGGGCCCTCCGCAGTACGGCAAGTGCCATGGTCAGGGGTCACGATACGGGGGGATTGGCTCAGGTTCGGGGCGCGAGGTGTTCGGGCGTTTTTCGTCGGTTCTCGGCGGTTTTCCAGCCTCGGGATGCTTTCCAATAGCTGCGCCTCGCCGAGATCGTTCTGGGGGTGCCCAGATGGTCCCAAACGGCCGCCAGAGAGCCGAGTTATGACCCGAAGCCCGAGGGGCCACGTTAGGGGGGGATAGGCTCAGGTGGGATGCATCGACCCCCAATCGCCCACTCATCGCCGACAAGGGGCCTGAGTGACCTCACCCCCAGGAGCGTGCGGTTTCGCTCTCGGGGGCCTGTCGCAGATCCATTGGCGATGCATCGCCGATTCCAGGTCGATGCTCCCCCCGAGCCAGTCCCCCCCATACCCTACAGTCACGAAGTTGACAGAGGAGGAGGAGGAGGAGCAGCAGGAGGAGGAGGAGGAGGAGAAGGCGGGGGAGGAGGATAGGCTGAGGAAAGGAGGAGGAGGCGTAGTAGTAGTAGTAGTAGTAGTAGTAGTAGTAGTAGTAGTAGTAGTAGTAGTAGTAGTAGTAGTAGTAGTAGTAGTCGTAGTCGTAGTAGTAGTAGTAGTAGTAGTAGTCGTAGTAGTAGTAGTAGTAGTGGTAGTAGTAGTGGTGGTGGTGGTGGTGGTGGTGGTGGTGGTGGTGGTGGTGGTAGTAGTAGTAGTAGTAGTAGTAAGTAGTAGTAGTAGTAGTAGTAGTAGTAGTAGTAGTAGTAGTAGTAGTAGTAGTAGTAGTAGTAGTAGTAGTAGTAGTAGTAGTAGTAGTAGTAGTAGTAGTAGTAGTAGTAGTAGTAGTAGTAGTAGTAGTAGTAGTAGTAGTAGTAGTAGTAGTAGTAGTAGTAGTAGTAGTAGTAGTAGTAGTAGTAGTAGTAGTAGTAGTAGTAGTAGTAGTAGTAGTAGTAGTAGTAGTAGTAGTAGTAGTAGTAGTAGTAGTAGTAGTAGTAGTAGTAGTAGTAGTAGTAGTAGTAGTAGTAGTCGTAGTCGTAGTAGTCGTCCCCCCACGGCTCTGGGGAGCCTGTGGGCGGGGGGGCTAGTGCTGCCCTCAAACCGCGGGTGGCAGCCACCCTTCCTTTTCTCGTGCCGTTACCGTTACGCACACTCTTCCTTGCCCTGAAGGGAGGTCCCGGGATGGCGGCGGCCGCTGGCGGCGCTGCGGACGCAGGTGCAGGGGCTCGAGTGGCTGGGAGTAACGACGCGGCGGCCCGAGGTGAAGCCGGCGCGCTGGCAGCCGCAGCGGATAGCAGAGGTGCCGGGGCCGCCCCGTGCGCTTCCGCTGCCGCACTCGCATCGGCCGATGCAAGCGTTCCAGAAGTCACAGTTGACGGCGGTACCGACGTCCACATGCGGGACAGCGAGGGTCAGCCGGCGCAGCGACGGCGCCGCATGACGGGAGGACGTATCTCTCGCTGGTGCGTCAGCGCCCAGGCGACCCGCGGCAAGCGAGCCCATTGCACCCGCTGCGCGGGAGGCTTTGAGGCGGACGAGTGGCGCGCGGCAGGCGTCGTGACGCGCCCCGTGGGCTCCCGGGCGCACGCGGGCAAGAAGTGGTTCCACATGACCTGCGTGGACGGCCCCTTACCACCAGCGACGGCGATGGAGGGCTACGCGCAGCTCCCCGAGGGCGACAGGGAACGCCTCGCAGCTGCTCTGGAGGCCCGAGGCGGCCCCATCTTGTCCCTGCTGGAGACGGTCGAACGCCAGGTGCCCACTCCTCCCTCCCAGGGAGACGACGCGGCAGGGGGTGCTGGGGTCGCCCCGAGGCTCCCTGCCGCCGCCGCGCCAGGGGCGTATGGCCCAGGCTCCCGTGGGGCTCCCCCGGTGGCAGCCGAGGCGGAGGCACCGTCTCCCGCGGACATCCTGCAGCCGCCCCTGGACGCCCCCGCGGCCGCGGACGACGACGGGGGGCTCGAAGCAGGCGTCTACGATGACTACCTGGACGACCAGGTGGCTGACGAAGAGGCGTACCGTGAGATTCGGTTTGTCAACCTGGATTGGTGGGACACCGTCGGGTGGGACCGCGTCCTGCTACAGGGTGCGCCCACCGCGGCCATGATCCCTGACAGCATGGCCGCCGCGGTTAGCCACGTCAAGGTGCGGCTGTGCCTGGCGATCGAGCAGGCCCGCCAGGGCGATGACGACCTGGCGGCGCGCACGCTGACGCGCTCGTGGAAGGTGTTCTTAGCTCTGGACGGGCTGCTCTTCAGCGAGAGCGCGACCCCGACCCCGACGACGCGACGAGAACGCTTCCAGGAGCGTTTGCAGTGGATCCAGGACGGCCAATGGGATGTCGCCTGGCTCTCCATGGAGGACCAGACGCGCACCTCGGTCACCGCGAAGGGCCGCGAAGGCCGCGTCGCGGCCCGCGTTCGCCGTGTCACTGAGCTCGCGCGAGCGGGCGTAATGTCTCGGGCGGCAGCGGTAGTGTGGCCCCAGGGTGATATGGCGGACGCGGCGGCGGTGGTTCGGAAGTTTAGCACCGCCCAGCAGCCTGCGGCGCCACGCCCAGGCGAATGGGGTCCCCCCCCTGGCACTGGGGCCGCCCCGCACGGGCCAGGCCCCCCCCCCCCCCGCGGCGGGGGCCGACGTGGCGACGCCGCCAGCCACGCCCCCTCACGAGCTCCTCGGCGCGGCAGAGCTACACCACCGCGTGGCCAACCACCTCGAGCGCCAGTTTGGCCGCTTCCTTCGCCGAGGCGGTGCGGGACCTGCAGGCGGGCGCTACGAGCACTGGGCTCCGCTCAAGCACGACGAAGACGGAGCGGAGGCGGTAGCCAACGCGCTGGCGCGCCTGGCCATCGGTGACCTTCCCCCCGAAGCTCTAGCCGCCCTGACCGCGGCGCGCCTCGCAGGCATCCCCAAGGCCACCCCTGGGGACGTGCGAGTCTTGGGCTGTGGAAATGTCACCCGCCGCATGGTGGGCCGCAGCGCGGCCAAGGTCCATCACGAGGACATGCGGGCGGCGGTGGGGGGGCCAACAGATCGGCCTGGCTAAGGACGGCTGCGGTGTCCTCCACCGACGCCTCTGTACGATGGCCAACTCGGGCCCTGGCAAGTGGGTGGTGGCGGTGGACCTCGGGGATGCGTTCAGCAACGTTCCCCGTGACCTCGTTAAGGGGGCCGTGCGCTCCAAGGTGCCCGCCCTGGCGCCGCTGGCGCAGCATGGCTCCCTGCTCGCACGCGCCACGTGGCGGGTGGTGGGTCCCAACCTGGCCAACTGGTCGACCAAATCCGCGGCCTCGACCAGGGCTGCCCGATGAGCCCTGGCTTCTACGCGGTTGGCACTGCGGATGACCTCAGCATCGGTCGCATGGCCGTGCGCGCGATGGACGTCGAGGGGGACTGCCTGGCGTTCTTGGACGACGCGTACTTCGTGGGCACCGCGGCTGCGGTGTTCCGCGGCTTGGATGCTTGGCGAGCCCGCATCGAACGAAGCCCATGGGATGAAGCTGAAGATGTTCAAGACCCAGATCTGGTCCCCGGACCCTCGCGCTGTCCTGCCGCCGGAGTTCGCGGAGTACGCCCAGTACTGCGCCCCGAAGCTCAAGGCGGTGGGGTCTACTCTGGCCTGCACAAACCACGACGTGGATGCTGACTGGCGGGGCGTCCCGCTCGCGGACTTTGCCGCCCCGGAGGACCTCGGCGCGGGCGGCCACGCGCCGGCTGGCGGTGCCGGGGTCGCCCCGGGTGCCGCCATGCCACTCCCCTGCGGCGAGGCCTTCCTCCAGAAGCAGGACCGCTACTTCCGGGGACTCCTGGCGCTCTGCACGCGCGGGCTGTCTGCCTTTGACGCCTTCCAGTTGATGCGGATCTGGTCGAGGGGCGCCTGCGTCCACATCCAGCGCGCGCTTCCGCTCACGGCGGCGTGGGGCCGCCGGGTGGATGACGGAGTGGTCGCCTTCGTCAGCGC